CCCTCATTTGGCGATTCCGGTTCATCATCACCACCATGATCATGACCATCATGATCAATCATGCGTGTATAATATATATATATATACATGTATACATATATACATATATACATATATACATATATATACACACATGTATATGTCACATACATATTCTAATCATTCTAATGGCTTCGAAAAAGCCCAGGCTCCTGGCAATCATTATGGACGCCTACCAAGTCGAGAAGTTTAAAGCTTCCGACACGACGACTCTGTGGCAGCAGGTTCTAGACATGATCCAGCGACGGCGCCAGTACCAAAGAGGCGAGCGAGTCCGACTACCCGACATCTTCGAAGTCTTCCGTAAGCAGTACAAAGGAAAAGAGAAGGAGATGATGTCAAGCGATCGCATGATCTCTGTCGAGTATCTGGTGACGCACGTGACTCGAATGCCGTACAAGCAGGCTTACAAAACCCTTGTGAACGCTCTTAAGAGGGATGAGGAGTTTCTTGGGCATGCTTCAGCACATTGCGCTGCTTCTTTCTAGTCTTGCTTGCAAAACGTTTTTCGGTTCTCCGGCAATTGCAAAACGATAAACTGAGGCTCAGCAACGGCTTTATGAGCGAGGAGCAAGTGAACAAGCACGTCGAATCCACACTGGACGCCTTTGCTGCCAAGATTCAGGCGGTCAAGGATGACGTGGAGTTTGTTTCAGACCAACTTGATTTTTGGGACCGTCTACAGGCTCCAGGCGATTCTGAGTATGACTTCTACTTCGGGGCAGAAGGCCACACTCCGGATGAAGCATCCAAACTCTGGATTCATAATTCCATCTCCTCGATATCTGTGGAGCTCCAGCATCTTTTTGCCAGAGGCTTACAAAGGATTGGCGTTTGGCAGGACGAGTTCGAGTGCGAGCAAAGCGAGCTCAACGAAAATCTCCTGGAAGTGCACCAAGTGCTGGCTCAGCTGCAGGAGGCGGTTCAAAACCTGCACCTCGTATGACAGGAATTTTGGGCGAAGAAGGGCGCAGGAGCGTCAAAGTTTCAAGTTCATCGTCCGAGGGAAATGTGTAGGCACTCCTGGAACCCTACTTGTGCAGTTCTTGCCATGAAAAGTGGACGACTTACATGAGATATTTCCGATAGCGTGTGCTGGGACTTGGAAAGGGCAGAAATCAGATGGGAACGTACCCACTGCATAAGTCTAGTTGAACGGAAGAGCCTCATCGATGGGATCCCTCGGCTCGATCCTCCCCAGCCAGGGTCTCCGCGCAGGCATGTCGTAGAGTTGACGGTCCCTTGTTTTGACGTCCTGGTCTTACGGATTCTGGGGTCCTCATTGCGAGTGTCTTGTTTTCGCGAACACCCACACATGACATATTTTTCAGAGTATAGTATCTCTGGATCGTGACCAAGGCAGGCAATCGTCGACTCCATGGACGGCAACAAGGAGGAGAACCCCAATCCGGGTTGATCAAAAGTCATGAGCGAGGTTCCGCAAAGTTAGGAATCTTTTTCGGTGGTCCCCAGACTATGGATCCTCCTCTTTAGCGTAGGTTTGGAGACTCCCGATCTGTTTGTCAGTCGTTGTGCATGATGTTGGCGCACAAAGTATGACGCCAGAGACTTTGGGACTCCGTCCCGCATGATGCCGCAATGACAGCATCGGTCAGTTTCACTGCGTAGATGCTCTAATCGAAGCATCTGTGGCCTCTGAGCCAGGCCACTGCCCATATGCTACAAAAATATCGAAGAAAAGGAGAATAGAAATCAAATACGAAAAATTGAAAAAAAAAGAAATTAATGAATTTCTTATGATTTATCTATATTATTCTATATATACGAATTGATATTCTTAATCTTATTATAAATTTTAATTCTATTTTATGAAAGTCTTCTATAATAGTTTTATGCAAAAAATATTTTTCTATAGCATGGGAAATATAGATATTTATATCGGGGCTAGCAGATATTGTTTAGGTGCTTTATCTATCTATTTGATATATTTTTCGGGGAATATATTCTAGATCTTATATCTTCTTATTAAATTCTATATATTTATTTTCATCTTCTTCGATATCTGCAATCGATGCTGTGAATTCTATATTGGTAAGGATCTATTCTCTATTCTCGGGAAGCCGCTTCTAGATAATTATTTATATATATGGGATTGATGCTATGATATAGAAGCGCACAAGTTTCCTTCTACTACGATAGCATATCATATCGCGCGTGACGCTGGGGATTGGCTACTTGGGTTGTCGCTTTTGGGCATGTGCTGTGATTGTCGCCGGGTCGAGCGTCCCTATGCGGAAAAGCATCATTATAATGATTTTCGACGACTTGCCACGATTTAGGACAACCACCTAAAAATTGACGATTGGATTACTCCAAATCCCAACATCTATATAATAAATATACTGGTTTCGTATCTTAGAAGACTTCCAAATGAAATATATACCCAGCGTCCTCAATAGATCTCGCACTTTGGTCTAGCTGTTGTGTGCTTCCTGAAATCAGCGTCTACATGGGATTTATTTATTTCTGATGGATAATTTCCCCATTGATGGTAATTCTCCCGAATTCTCCCAAAATCAGTGACTCTCGATATTGATTTAGAGTCTCACTAGCTGATGAGAGAAAATCCCAATGCAAATATAAAAAGAAAAATATACATATAATAGAATAATTTAAATACGCAAAAAATATAATTTTGCATTCTGAATATTTTTCTTTTTATAATAATTCCTATTTCAAACATATTATCAATTTTCTTAGATTCAAGGATTCAAAATTTGAGATATTTATAAAATTGGGTTTTTTGAAGAAATAAAATTTGAAAGATTGATTGGATTTGATATATAATTTTGATAAATTCTGATATTGAAAAATATATGAATTTATCGATAGATATTTTTCAAGAATAATCTTCTAATAAAATGATATCGAATTAGTCGTATCTATATTTTTTGCGTCTTCTTAATATCTTAGAATCTGACGGAAATTTTGGTGTCGTGAAGATTCAATTTTGAAGAAATCTTATGATAATAAAATTTCGAAAATTATGGTAGCTCGAGGGGGATATCTTCTTGGTCATAAAATTCCGAAATATTTGGTAGGTGTGGTCGCGGTCAGAAAATTGTTTGAAATTTGGAAAGATATCTTATGGAATTAAAATTTCTAGGGTTTGTAATTGTCGTGAATTCTATAAATATCTTTCTAGATGTAGGTATCTCTTTGTGTCTGTCTGAATGTCTCTTTGGTTGTGTTTCTGGTCGTGTATTTGTCTGTCTTTCCATATATGTATCTATCTATCTATGTGTCTATTAATGTGTCTGGGTTTCTCCATGTATCTATAGGGTTATCTAGAGTTCTTGTTTTTGCCCGTATTTTTGTCGGGATTTTATCTATTTTTTATCCATCTCTTTATCTATCCATTTTTCTTTCTATCTATCTATATACTTATTTTTCGATCGCTCTATTTTTATATTTATCTATCTAGATATTCATCTATTTATTTATCGATTTATTTATCTTATATATCGATAAATTCATCTATCTATTTATTTATTTATTTATTCATCTATTTCAAATATCTTCTATGAACTTATCTATCTATATTTATTCATTTATTTATTTTCTCTTTATTTCATTTATAATATGAGTATTTTCAATCTATCTATAGTTATTTATTTGATTGCTTATTTGTTTCCTTATTTATTTATTTATCTGAATATTTATCTATCTATTTATCTATCT